GCTAAGATATTATGATATTACAACATGGCGCTAAGCAATTAGTAATCGCAAGATATTTTGACACAGTTCTGAGGTTGAAGTGATATTTGCTTGCTATAAATATTATTTCTATAGCGATCAAGAGCCTGAGTCAAGACTTCACCATTAAATATTGACAGCCCACTTTATAATGACAAAATGATATCCATCTGATATCCGCTAAAAGGATCTTAAGTTACAAAATGCAACCGAGCCATTTGATACTCGTACATAGGGTATCTCTAGATCAACCCCTTTCCACTTCTCGATTCCCGCTCGTTTTCTCTTTATGAATTCTCGTGCTCGATTCGAGTATGTGTGTACATACGGTGTGTTTTTGGGCAATTGGGGGAAAAGTGGAAAAGCTGAATGAGCACTGTAATTGCGGGTACGTGCGAGATGTGGAAAAGCTCTGCTACTTTTCACTTCGCCCAGCATGGATGCGCTCATGGAGGGGGAGGATGTAATTGTTGTGGTTACCATTGTTGCTGTTGATGCGGCAGAAATAATTTGTGATTTCATGCTTGACGGAGCGTATTTGTTAATATTTTGGTTATTATTACACATGGAACAGTGGATAAGCCGAAAGAAGCGAAAGAAGCGAAAGAAACGCCCGCCATGTGCCAACATTCGTTTTACTTAGTGTTTTTGGTATGGTAAAATGTGTAATTAAGTGGGTATGAAAGGAAAACTCAAGCGGTTAACCGATAGGAGTTTTCTCTGCAACATTCCGTGCAATTAAATCCTCAAGTTTCGACACCAGGAGACAATCCCAGCGGACTTTGGGGTTACGCAACGATTGACACTACGTATTGTCTTGCAATCTCGGATTATGTTGTGCCCGATATGGATTCAGCTCAGTTTCCCGGCTCTCCGTTTAGGCCGAGCAATTTCCTTGGTCTGGTCAGTTTGTCCGTTTTATTTTTTCGGTGTCTACCAGGGGTTTTCCAAGGCACTCTTGATTTTCAACGCACCCAGCCAGAGCAAACGTGTTTCGTATCTCACGGATACCGCTTGCAAAACGAACCAGTCTCCATCTGCATCCGAGTCTCGGCATCGGTTACATTTGCAGGCGGAGTCACTGGGCGAGCATCATCCAAGGCGATTTGGCACACGCTCGGCAACCAGTTAAGACAATGCCCCATCTGATTATGAAGTTGCCGTGGAGCGGCATCAAATTGTAGGCCTACAGCCGCTGCAGCTGCAAATGTATCTCAATCTCATAACTGGGCCTCTGTGTTAGGGTGTCATTTGCTAGGGGAGCAGGTGCAAACTAGATCTACCCAGTTGGATAACTTAATTCAGGGGGAGTGGCTGGCCCGCCCGAAGTTTATTAAGACTAATAATTGCTAGATATATAGGAAAACGACTCTCGATTGATTGCCACTCTCGTTCGGAGTAAAAGTGCTGTTTTCATTCTCTATCTAATGGCGGCCATTACCTTATGGCAATCTGCATTATCGTGGACTAACAATTATCGGTGGTGCTACGCACAAACGTGTTCAAATGCATTTCCGCCTGCTCACCTATCAGATACATATGTATTTGGCTGTCTTTGTTTGTTTTTGTTTGTCAATTGATTAGCAAGCTGCATTCTCGGGCGAGCTAACTTCAAAAAACTAGAAACCAGAAACAGAAAATGAAAAAAAAACAATAAAAACATGAATATCTTGTTGGCTTATCGAGCATTCTTGCAGATCCGCACTGCATTTTTTAAGCCAAGTGGCATTATGCAATCGCTTATATGCTTATAAACTCGTACCTGACGAATGCGAGATACGAGGGTGCTAAAAACGTGAGCCGACCACAAAAATCCAATACCCGGCACAAGGTTGACCCGAAGTAGGTGGCCCACCCAGGCCAATGTGGTCCAAGAAATGAAAGTCACCACTGGTAATTTGAGGTATGATCAAAGCTAAATTACAAAATTATTAGAGCCAGTTTTGGTGGACTGTTTTCTTGAACCGAAAGGGGAATACCCTTTTAAATAGCGAGTTTAGTCGGACAAAATTTCAGTGAAAGTAATCACTGCTTAACAACAAAACTGAAAAATAATTATCATATAAACTATGCTATTTCCGTTTATTTAACTGGCATAATTATGGACTTGAAAAGCCAAAAATTACGAATTTTCTTGATGTGTATAATGGATATTAGGTCATCCAGAGACAATTAATTGTAATAATGGTTTTACCATTGAAATAGAGAGATAAAAATATTATTTAATGTTATATCAATGAGCGGCAATTTGGTAGTCCTACACAAATTTTACTAGACATTAGTTATATTATTGAAGCTTTAAAAATGTTCAAATGAATAACTTTACACTTTATTTAAAGATTGTTAGTGAACTATGAAACAATTATTCGCTTAAAATCAAAGACAAGAGTAAAACCAGATAATAGGTCATTTGTTAATTAGTCCGAGGTTGTGACTGAGTCAATAGTTCACTTTATCTAGTTGTCTTCGTTGGTTTAGTGATTGCTTTGTAGCTTATCTTATTCTATACCTGATGTAATCTCAAGTAGAAGTAAGTGTATGTTCTCTTCAGATTTCCTCTTAATTTATGTTTAAGTACTATTATTAAGTGCATGCGCCCTTTTTATTCCCATAAAATAGCCCATATATGTAGTTATTAGTAGTCCCAACTTCCCACACTAGGCCATCTCTCTCTTTATTTTTGGCAAAACAAAACGAACTACTGGCAGTGAAAGGCATTGCCACAAACTGCGTGGGAATTGGGCTATGGGTGCTCATTGTCTTTTGCGATGCAATGAAAGCCGTGAAGCAATTCCGCATAAAATTATGAAACGTGACGGCCCAGTACTACACATGTTGATAAGATGTCGAGCATGCAATCTTGGCCAGAACTCCCCCCACCAAAGTTCGTAAAAAGCGACCTGGTTGGAACTCACCTTTCAGCTGGAAGACGGGACTGCCGACGGGCGTGTTTTCCGAGAGGCTGAATCGGGACATGTCGCCCGTTCCGGGGACGAACTGCGGCGGTTGGTTGACCAGCTGGCCAGCGGTCAGGCTCAGAAAAAGCAGCAACAGCGGCAACATGTTGCCGTCGCTAATTTCAGTACCGTTAGGTATCCGTATCCGTTAGGTCCGAGTTTCGATGGTGTTTACGCGAGTATTTGGCACATGTAGAACGACACAGTTTCGGTTTAATTCAATCTCTTTGCTCTCTTACTCCGCTCCGCTCGCGTTCTTGGACTGGTCGAAATACAAAACAAATTCTGGTTATATATTGGGCCCGAAACAAAGGTTTTTCAATGCTAGCCACTGCACCGCCCCCAGTTGGCCTTGTCGCGAGTTGGCTCAAATGAATGGGATTGGGCTGAGCAGCTTAAGTTGAGCTGATCTTGCAGAATTGCTTATCTTAGCCTTGCCGTTTGAACTTTTGCCAGCTCTCGAACGCATTCCACAAATGATGCGCAAAGCGAATGTAGGTATATGAAACAAAAAAGCGATGTTCCGACGAGATCTAAAAGAAATTTAGTAGCGAACAGAAGATTTCACTTTATGCACATGTGAAAAGTGGCACATGATGATGAGGCGGCTGCTGTCTGCCAGTTCCGATCATTGGGCACTTCTCGGCGATTGGCAAATGCGGCGATGATGGCTTTCTTTTGGTACCAACACCAGCTCGTAAGCAAAAGCAGGGGAATGTGCAAAAGCGGCTAAAACAAATAAACACAGGCGGCCGACTGGTTCAGGTATAGTATAGTATGGTATAGTATCCGAGTAGGTAGGTATCTATGGGTTCTTGTTTTGGCCGAAAAAGAACAGCAAATGGAGAGCGAAATCGAGGAGAGGAAGAAGGCAGAAGGCAGAAGGAAAGAGTGTGGCGAAAAACAGGAAGCAAATGCAATTCTGGCGGCTTAGGGCAAACAGCTCGGGCAAATAAACTATAAGTTACACTAATGTGGAATGACCATTTCTGGCCAACTATTCCACGGATATATTTTTGGTTTTGGCCAACGCACGCAAAAAACACACACACTCGAAACCGCACAACGGATGACGCTAGGGTCCGAAACTTGATCTTGCGCCTTCTTGTTGTTTTTGCAGCTACGGATTGCTTTAAAGTATCTCGCGGATGCCGACTTGAGTCGAGTTTGAAGCGCGACAACGTCTGAACGCAGCGACGCTCGCTTGCCTTCTGGCCGGACTTACCTGTTGCTGCCCGTTCTTTCAAATGAGAGCCACTCACAAAGACTCGGCTCTGAATACTGGTTTTCGCCTCTTGCCGGTTCTGTTTTGCTGCGGGTTTCGCGCACGCGCAATGGATTTGGCAATGAAAACTGGCGGTGTAGTGTGAAGCCCACTTTTGGGCTCACAAGAAAAGGGCTTTTAAGAAAATATCATTGCCTATTTTCACAGGTGTTACACTTGGCTCCTGATCCGATTAAGATAAGTTGAGTTATGGAGTTAAGAACTTCACACTTGGTACATTTCTTAATTTTCTTGAATTTCTACATCATAACATCAGAAAAATTACACAACAAAAATTAAAAAAAAAATACATTTCTAAATTAGAATGCAGATCTTAGAGAATTGCGCCATAAACATTTAGATGCATGCCACTTGAAAATCCGATTAAGATAAGATGAGTTATGGAGTTCAGAAATACAGCCTTGGGACATTTCTTAATTTTTTTCCAATTTCATCACCAGAAAAATTACAAAAATAATTAAAAAAAAATACATTTCTAAATTTGAATGCAGATTTTTGGAGAATTGCGCCAGAAACATTAGTGGTATACCACTTCAAAATCCGATTAGGATAATTTTAGTTATGGAGTTTAGAACTTCAGCCAGTGGCCAGCGTCTCTGATCAAGATACGAATCAAGAATATATGTATATACTTTATGTGGTCGGAAACGCTTCCTTCAGCCTGTTACATACTTTTAAACGAATCTAGTATGACCTTTTACTCTACGAGTAACGTGTATAAAAAGCCTCAGTTAAAATAGATTGAGATACGTTCATATAATATTATTATATATATAAAACATACAATTTAGCTATATTTAATTTAATTATTCAAGGTGAATAAGTCCCTGCTATGCGGAACACCTAGCCCTAACTTACTCTAAGTGCAACTAGCGTAGTTAGTGGTTAGAGAGCATCGTCCACCTGGAACTGTATCAGATCCTCGACGGGAAAGCGGAAAAGCGAGGCGGTCTGGGCCTCCGCTGCCATCTGTTCGATATTGGCGTTCTTCGGATAACGATAGTGCTCATCCACCGGGGTTTTCCTATATCGATGATCCTGCCGAATGCTGCCAAAGGTGGAAGGATCTGGGAGCTCAGCCGCCACAATAGGATGCTCAAAGTCAATCAGCGGCAGATGATCGCTGCGCGAAATGGTACTGGATCGATTGCCAGGCTGGGATTGCAAATGTTGCTGCTGCGTCGCTTGATGTTGCTGCAGGGTTTGATTATGCAACGGATGGTGTTGCTGCTGCTGCTGTGGTTGCTGTTGCAGACCAGTGGCACTGCCATTGACTGCCTGTCTGGGTTCAATGGGACTGGGCGGATTGGGTGGCGGCAAGTCATTCGAATTGACCGTGTTGCGTTGCATGTTGTGTTGGTAGAATGGATTGGTGGAGGCGCGAATCGTGGCAGTTGGTTTCTGCTTGGGGAACACATTTAAGTGCAGCATGATGGGGTTCGTTTGGCTCTCCACTTGACCTTGAGCCTGTGCAGAACTCTGTCCATAGATGGGCTCATCCGGATGCACGCTCTTCGGAGGCGGAAACTTGTGGGCCTGGTTGTGGTACAAGGCCTGCTGCTGACTGTATCTGGTAGCCTGGTCAGGGAAGACTACGGGTTGTTGGGTGGGGAACTTAAAGGGTGTCTGGTACATGCCCTGACCCATCTGAAAAGCGGCCGCCGTGGTTCCAGTCAAGGCAGCAGGCGAGGGCAGGACATAGTCTTGATGGAAAGGATGTCGCATCACCGAGGCAGGACGCGAAGGCGGCAGCACAGGATATATATCCAGATTGACCTTAAAAGGAACCCTCTTCAGGTGCGGCTTTCGAGTGGCATTCAGTGTGACCACAGGGGGTGCAAAATGCTGTTGCACGAAGGGATCTGCCACAAAATGCTGCTGACTGCCATGCTCCAGTAGGTGTTGCTGCTGTTGTTGCTGCTGCTGTTGCAGTTGCTGCTGGAGCTGCAGCTGCTGTTGCTGCTTCTTTTTCTTCTTTTTAGACAACGGTTTTCCGTTTCCCAGTGGCTGCATGGCTAACAGGTTAACATCCTGCGGCGAACGGGGCTTGTAAGGATAGAGTTGATCGATGGACACCCTTTGATGGGGCAAAACACCGGGATTATACCACGGCATGGGCATAGACATCATGGGAAACATGGGCATCGGAATGCTGAACTGCATCTGTTTCTTGTTGCGCTTGCCGCGGAAAAAGTTCCCAATTCCGCTGGACTTGAAGTTCTTGAAAGTACCTGCGATGTGGAGACCCGTGGGCATCATCACCATGGGTGGCAGTTTGCTGGGGGCTAAGCCTCCGATGTGCAGGTGCTGCAGGATGTCCTGGATGTTGTTCAGTTCGGGACGACCCTCACCCTTGGTGAACTGCTCCGGCATGGGACCTTCGTAGGGAAAGTGGAACGGCTTGGGCTTGAACTCTTCCTGACCGCGAAGAGCTCGTGTGCCCGGCGTTTCGGAGTACTGCCGCCGCAGCAAACCCTTTGTGGGCGCCGGCGGCGGAGTGGGCGAGCCCAGGGACAATTGCATATCCTGGGTAGTGAGGCGCGGGGGGCGTGGCATCTGATCTCGCAGCAGCCCCCTCAGAGGCGTCATGGTCGCCGATCGCTTGGGCAGACGCTCGTACACATGGGCGTCGTCCGGTTCGTGTGACGATGTTGCATGTTGCTGCCGTTGCGCTTTCGTGCGCCACGTCCCGTAGATGGGTGCAACGTTGCTGTCGGCACGCTCCAATAAGTAGGCGGTTTCCCCAGCAGCTCCCTGCGACGCCTGCATCTGCTGCAGATGCAGCTGCAGCTGATGCTGCTGCTGGCGCAGGTACTGTTGCTGCTGCTCGTGCTGCAGTTGCTGCAACTTGGCCCGCATCTTCTCGATGTCGCTGTCGCTGTCCGAGGGCTCGGTCTCTGTGCTGAGCTGGGATGGTTCGTCTGCGGAGGACTCAATGTCGTTCGGAGATTGCTGCTGTAGATGCTGCTGCTGCTGCTGGTGCTGTTGATACAGAGTGGCTGCGGAGGCGACCTTCACTACCATGAGAGACATCTGCAGGTACAAAGAAAATGTAATCAAAGATGGAGGGGTTGCATGGGCTTCACGATAATTGCTTGTATTGCCAAATAATGGCGTCAAATGGAATGGAATCTGGGGAGATGTATAATTACAGATCCATTTCCTCAGATCAAGATTTCCGCGTAATTGTTACTTGAAATGTGGATCCGACACATACAAGTGTTCCAATTCGTAATTGGAAACCCTTTAAGGTTTTTGGTATCTCATCTGGAGCTGGAAAGCTTTCAACTCACAATTGCGTACCCCAGGATCAGGCCCATAATCCACCGCCTGCCTTTAGTGAAGCAAGGATCCAGTCGCGTTCGAGTGTCCCGTTGTCCTTGACCGACTGCCGACTGCATGAACATCTTTCCGGGATCTGCTGCTCGAACCACTCGGCTTGCCTAACGCTTGATAAATGTGGGCTTGAGCTTCTGCCTCATCGCGGATCGCAACGATGACTGAGTGCAACCGGGCGCTGACGGCGCCTAAAAAGCGTCGGTTATATCGGCCCAAGTGCAACAGCTTAATTAGAAAGTTTAATAGAGTTTGGCTGCGAAAGCAAAACAGCAAGCTACAGACAGACACATAAATTAATTGCTCAGGCGAATTCGTGCTCCCAGGCAAGTGGAAAAGAAAGAGATATTAAAAAACGCATTGACCATGAAAATCTGAAGATAGCTGCGAAGCAACTAGAAATATCTTCGGCGGCAATAAAACCGAAGTGGTTATGCACTGACGAAGGGAGCTGGCTGTGTTACTATACATAGTTCTAATACTTGATAAAAGATTTTAAAAGTAAGTTAAAAGCCTACGATAATAATTAAATCTATAACAAATAAACCAGTTCCAATATTTTGTAGTTATAGGTTCGAAGAACACTTCAAATATATCTCAAATTTGAATTTTCCATATAACCTAAGGTTAAATTCATATTAGTATGGAGATATACATTGCTTATGGTAAACTTGTATTTGAACCCACTCATATGAACATTTAAAACCTATCAACTAAACTAACGTGTTTCACATCCATAACTTAAGTTGGTAGAGACCAAAGTGGAGGTCAAGGTTACCTGTTTAAACTGCACTTTTGGCGCTTTATGGCTTGTAAGCAACGCTCCCCTTAGCATAGTCGTAAAAACCGAATTCGAATTTTAAGATAACGCTTAAAGATGAGGGACCAACCAGACCACAAAATCTCCCGGACATGTCTTGATCCCATTTCCCGGTTAGGAGAGAAAGAGAAAATGTGTTATTATCGCAGCTAACAGGACCGCAAGTAGCTTCCGCTTCCCAAAAACAGAAGAAAATGCTTGTAAATATTCGAAAAACTTATTTTATTGTTCAGGTTTCAGCGATCCGAATTAAAAGTTTATTTAATCGTAATATAGAGCTATATAGTCTTGAGCTGGCGTCCGTCACAGACGACGGACGCCTATCGATCGTAGAGTAGTGGTAGAACATAGCAAAAGTTGGATAGACTGTTAGCTGTACAATTGGGGCACTCATTTACAATGATCCCTAGCTGTATGAGTATGCGATTCATTAATTACAAAAATAAAATAAAAACAAACAATTGTCGTCCTTGCAGGCGCACCAGTGGCGCCCTCTAGCACCGCTGGCGCCGGATCGTGTAAAGTTAGACTGTACGAGAATTGACTAGATCAATCTAGCCCTAGACGATGGCCCTATCCCTAATCACATCTGGATCTTTAGATCTAGAAGTTGAAGGGGATGCTGGGCACGGGGTACTGGTAGCCCTGGTGCTTGGTGGGTGCGGGTGGGACGTACACGGTGGTGCGCACAGTTGGTGGTGGCACGTAAACGGTGGTCCTACGGGTGGGTGGTGGAGGAGGGCGGGTGGTGCGCACAACAACGGGGGGCAGGTAGGTGGTTGGGGGCCTAGTTGGGGGGCGAGTGGGTGGTGGGGGAGGACGGGTGGTGCGCACAACAACGGGGGGCAGGTAGGTGGTTGGTGGGCGGGTTGGGGGCCTCGTGGGTGGCAGAGTTGGGCGAGGGGTGGTGCGAATGGTGGTGCGCACGGTGACGGGTGGCAGAGGCTTGTTGGTGGGTGGCAGGTAAGTGGGAGCCGGGGTGGTCAAACGACGAGTGGTGGGTGGGTAGGTTGGTGGACGAGTTGGTGGTGGAGGAGGACGGGTGGTGCGCACAACAACGGGGGGCAAGTAGGTGGTTGGGGGCCTAGTTGGGGGGCGAGTGGGTGGTGGAGGAGGCAGGTAAGTGGTTGGTGGGCGAGTTGGAGGCCTGGTAGGAGGCAGAGTTGGACGGGGAGTGGTGCGCACGATGACCGGTGGCAGAGGCTTGTTGGTGGGTGGCAAGTAAGTAGGAGCCGGGGTGGTCAGACGACGAGTGGTGGGTGGGTAGGTTGGTGGACGAGTTGGTGGTGGGGTGGCACGAGTGGTGCGCACGACAACGGGGGGCAAGTAGGTGGTTGGTGGCCTAGTTGGAGGCCTGGTAGGGGGCAGAGTTGGACGAGGAGTGGTGCGAATGGTGGTGCGCACGGTGACCGGTGGCAGTGGCTTGTTGGTGGGTGGCAAGTAAGTAGGAGCGGGGGTGGTCAGACGACGGGTTGGTGGTGGGGTGGCACGAGTGGTGCGCACGACAACGGGGGGCAAGTAGGTGGTTGGTGGCCTAGTTGGAGGCCTGGTAGGGGGCAGAGTTGGACGAGGAGTGGTGCGAATGGTGGTGCGCACGGTGACCGGTGGCAGTGGCTTGTTGGTGGGTGGCAAGTAAGTAGGAGCCGGGGTGGTCAGACGACGAGTGGTGGGTGGGTAGGTTGGTGGACGAGTTGGTGGTGGGGTGGCACGAGTGGTGCGCACAACAACGGGGGGCAAGTAGGTGGTTGGGGGCCTAGTTGGTGGCCTGGTAGGAGGCAGAGTTGGACGGGGAGTGGTGCGCACGATGACTGGTGGCAGAGGCTTGTTGGTGGGTGGCAGGTAAGTGGGAGCCGGGGTGGTCAGACGACGAGTGGTGGGTGGGTAGGTTGGTGGACGAGTGGGTGGTGGAGGAGGACGGGTGGTGCGGACGACTACGGGGGGCAAGTAGGTGGTTGGGGGCCTAGTTGGAGGCCTGGTAGGAGGCCTGGTAGGAGGCAGAGTTGGCCGAGGAGTGGTGCGCACGATGACTGGTGGCAGAGGCTTGTTGGTAGGTGGCAGGTAAGTGGGAGCCGGGGTGGTCAGACGACGAGTGGTGGGTGGGTAGGTTGGTGGACGAGTTGGTGGCCTCGTTGGAGGAGGAACACGGATGGTCACTGGTGGCAGTGGCTTGTTGGTGGGTGGCAAGTAGGTTGCTGGAAGACGAGTGGTTGGTGGCCTGGTTGGTGGCCTCGTTGGAGGAGGCACGCGGATGGTCACTGGTGGCAGTGGCTTGTTGGTGGGTGGCAAGTAGGTTGCTGGAAGACGAGTGGTTGGTGGCCTGGTTGGTGGCCTCGTTGGAGGAGGCACGCGGATGGTCACTGGTGGCAGTGGCTTGTTGGTGGGCGGCAGGTAGGTTGGTGGTGGTGGTGGCCTGGTGGTGCGGACGGGCAGATCGAACGGCACCTGGGGCTGGGGGTAGAAGTATCCCTCGGCGGCACGAGTCTTGCGCTGAAAGAGGTGGCCATAAGTTCCTGTTGGCAGGGATTCGTCAGTTGTCTGGACTTACCTCATGGGTATCGGCCGATGCGGTGGCCACCGCCACAGCGCAAAGCGCCAAAACAAACAGTGCACTTCTCTGTGGGGAAGGAACGAGAAACACAGTCTGGTTAGTGATGCTACATATTGATGGACTCCGGTGGTGTCGCCGTACAGAGGTGCTCAGACTAACGACTGGCTCTAACAACCTGATTGCGACTAATTGATCGCCTTCTAGGCTAATCGCCTGTTCACGCTTCGTGGCGACTTGGTCGCCGACCGGGTCGGAGGAGGCAAGGCAACTCTGCTGGCCTGCGGGTCAAAGCTGTGCTAAAGTTCAGCCAACAAACAGCTAGGCCGGCGAATCGATTTACCATAATGCATTGAAAATCAACCGAAATGCTAGCGCAGACATTCAACTTTGACGGGCATTAGCATCTCTAGGTCGGTCCCCTTCCCCGGAGCTATGTAAATATCGCAGATTGGCGCGATTGATACATAATGGCCATGCAAATGCTGAGCGACACAAGATATGTGAGCTCAATGGGGACCCGAGGAAGTAGCCCCTGAATTATGGCTTCCGACGCTGCTGTTAGCGGGTTTATTTGCATTTGTCGCTGGAGTTTGGGCAAGGTCATTGCTAGCTAATGAAAGTGCTCGTCGATGGTCGCAGATGGCCAGTGCCGATGAGCTCAATTAATTGGCTGGCGGAGAATTTTCGGTAGCTATAAAAATAGCTGATTATGAAAGAAACCGGCCCGCATCCGGGCCCCAAGCTGCAGACCAGTTCTAGCCATGATTATATAATAATCAGCCAAGACAGGCCATAAAACTAGTGAGAAAACGCCAAATTAGCATACGCATCTGGCGTAGAAGGAATAGTAAGCACCGGGTGTCATTTATAACCAAATTATAGATGTTAACCCATACCTCCAAACCCGATTGGGTCCAGTTTCATTTTTGGTTTCTGCTTGCTTGCTAATTTCTAAAATATTTGATCTTTGTATGTAAATGATTTTAAATAATTTATGCTAATGAACCTGAATTTTTGGCTGTTCTAACTTGTTTTAAATATCGCATCAGTCAGAATTAATCTTTGGAATTCGAGAACCAATTCGGGTTTGACTTATGGTGGTGCTTAAAGGTTAGAAAGTGAAAGGACTTGGAGAGATATTCGCCGAGGCAGAGCGATTCCCTTGACTGTTCAGTATGCTAATTGGCAGCTAATTAATCTGATTCACGCCGCATCGAGGGCAGAGCCCCAATGCCAAGACTTTGGGGCAATTAAATTTTTCAGAAACTGTGAGAGATTTGGGCGAATTAAAGTCCGGGGGAAAAGATCAGGGGGCCCTTGCACAAATTAAATCTTCTTTGGCAACAATGACGGTGATTAATGGGCGTCTGTTCAATGAAAACGTTAAGAATCTAACTTAAGGCAACATTTTTACGGCTATTTACCTAAATACGCGAATCGCAAATTGCGACTAGCAAATGTCAGAAGCAAAAGCGAAAATTATGGTAAAAAAAACAAGTTTTAATTTCATCTTCAGCCATGTCAATGCTGACATAGAAACTGCCGCCACATGGCAGAGGCACATGCAGCTGGTCATCCTAATGACTTAATACGCAAATTGCGGATCGCGGATCGCGCCAAGGCGATTTGCTCCGTGGGCGGCCTACAAGGCGTATGCGTAACATTGCACTCGATGCCACTTGCTCAATTTCTACTTGGCTTAAATGTCAACCGCCAGCTGGTCAACTCTTAACTCGAGATGATAGCCCGGGTGATAGAGCCCTCGACAAAATGTGAAATGCAAATAGATGGCGATTGAATTGGAACTGCAGTCGGCGTTGGCAATTTGTTTGCTATTTCTTCTTGTTTGCGATGCTCTGGTGCACAGAGAAAAATCGCAAACAAGTTGCTCTAAAGCCCTATCCCCCTTATCATCCCAATGAATCCCTACATAAAATTATAGAATATAAGTAAGCTAACCTTTCTTTCCTTACAAAACACTCGTATTAAATGAGACCATGTGCATTTCTAAAGGAAAACTAAGATCCTAGCAATAGCATTATCAATAGCTAGATAACTGACACAATATTTAAACACAAGTAATGTTTTATTTTAAAACTGTACTATATCGAAACTAAAGTTTGAATTCAAAAATCCTTGAACAGGATGTCGCATTTGTGTTTCAAATATTTCCTACAGATCACAAGCTCAAACTATTAAACCTTAGAAACTTGAACTCCCTTAATAAACTGATACTCTTTAACTTCATCTGCACTGCTTTTCCTTTGCGAAATGTCTTGTTTGTCTTCACACCGAGGGACACTTGTTGCGTTATTTTGCACTTTGCACACGATCATTGTTCGTTTTGGGTTAGATTGGGTTGGAACTGGGTTCGGTTACCATGGTGTACACTTTTGGACTGCTACAAGCGGCAGTTGTGGTAATCCCGGGTGCGTAGGTAATCCTAGCCGGTGTGCGTGGATAATCCTTGAGGACGGTACTTTGAGGATCGGAAAGGAGAAGACGCGACCGATCGTATCAAATTCAATGAACGATTGAATTTGATCGATGCCAAGCTAAGTTGGTTTAACTTCTAGGTCGAGTGTGGAATACCAACTAAAGCATCAAAACTTGTAGATTTTCTATATATACTCGGACCCAGCATCTGCCCACCTGGGCAGCGGCGTCGGCAGAGGCATCTTCACCTGGGCGACAGCTGTTAACACACGGCCAAAAGCCGAAATCGAAAGCGTTTTGGCCAGATGAAGATGAGCCGAACTCGAAGCCTCTGCCGCTGCCGCCGCCGCCGCCGCTGCCGCTGCCTCTGTTGACAGCGACGCCGACAGCTGAATGCTGAATGCTGACCAGAAAGCCAACCAGTCTCGGATGTTTGATGTTTGTGAGTTAACAGCCAGATAACATGGCTAAGACAAAAAGGCGGCCAAATTGAGGCCCAGCAATTATGGCAGAAGAGCAACTAAGGCGGACGCACTGCCAACCACCACCAACGCCTGCTCTTGTTGGCATTTCTATTTAGCCAACTCCGATTGCTGGCAAATATGCTTGTACTTTTGGCAGAAGTCTTCGCCGAGTGTTAAACACGTTGTCGTGCAGCGTTTAATTTGGTAAATGGGTCCGAGCCACCGAATTTCATCAATCGCTGAGACAAGCTGGCTCGCCGATCGAGAGCCAAGTCAAGGCTCCCATCGAAGCTTACCAAGGCAAATAAGGCCGAGAAGATCAGGCGTTGGCTAATGGCAATTACCCCACGGAGCAGGCCTAAATGCAGTTGGAGTCGGAGTCGGAGTTGGCGTCGGCCGATTGAACATGAACCGGTTGACTTGGCCAAAAATGCGTGTGCCCGGGGGTCAGCAGATGGCAGCCGGAGTTGAATGTTAAGGTAGGCTCTGCTCATCTCTGACTCCGCGTCAGCCGGGTGACCTTTAAACGCACACTCGAAGATCTCGAAGATCTCGGTGATCAGTGATCAGTGATCAGCGCTGCATTCCTCGAGCGACTCCCAAACGGGTTTCGGCATCGGCTTTGTCATCGCCTGCATTTCGCCACTTTAATAACTAGAATTTATTTACTCAGAAGCAGTCACGTCTAGATTTTAATGAACCAATCAGAGTGACACCCACTGGCCACGCGAAGTCATGAGCCAGCCCGAAATAGAAATGACTTTGAACTCTTTCGGCCCAAAGGTGCGTGGTCACTGGGTAGTCAGGGTCGTGAAAAAACGGCGGAACACCCAGAGGAAGTGCAGCCGAACGGAAGTCGCCCCTGCGGCCATCAGACGCCACTTAGAGCTACATTAATTCTTGGCTTTTATTGCATAATTGCTGGCTAACTATTCGGGTCATAACTTGCTTCGCACATCCCCGCAGAAGCAATGACACTTGGCAACGACTGCTGACATTTCAAATTTGTCATTGCGGATAACTGAAGCGGCTGAATTGTTTGTATTATTTGGTTTCAGTTTTAGCGCATTGGATGCCTCTCGACTGCCGGCTAGAGGAAAAGCCTTTTTTGTCACCTCATCCGACATTGCAACAGACGATTATTCAACGTCTTCCACGCCGAGGAGTTTATAATTTGTTGCCTTAAATTTTAAACTCCACTGAAGGACGTTGGCGATTGTCAAATCAAACAAGTCCGTGGCATGTACCTGTTCTAAACCGCATTCTGGGCAGGTTGCTATTCGGATAATTTAAAAATAAATTTGTTAATCTAGGGGAGCTTCAGCTCTCTTAAGTGAATTGTTATGAGTCTTTGTCTTCGGGCGCGGAAATCATAATATCTAGTTTTTCATTATGTTTTATCTGCATGGAGATCTCGAATTGGTGCTAAAGACATTATGTGGTATTAATGATATTTTTGGTCATCAAAAACAAAGCGAGAAACGAGGTAAATAAATATTAAATCATAAATCTAACGACAAAACTTTCTGGTAGACCCCATACAAAATTCTGACAAACAACCATCTTCTCCAGACTCAAATTTCTGTACAGCATTTATTATTATTTATGTATTTGTAACTTAATTAAATATTATAGTTTTTAAAAATAAAAAATCTTGTTGGAACTGCTGACAAGATTCATTGGCTTCACAAATGCCTAGACGTTTGTTGTTAAAGACCTGTATCCATTCAGGTAGACAATTAATATTACTTATCTTATCCTAGAGCAAATTAAATACCCTCACGCACCGGCAATTAAAATTGAAATCAAGTCTCTTGGCCAGCAACATGAAAAATTCAACCACAAGTCGCCTAATAAAAAGTGTTCGCCGAAGAATAGAATACCGAAAAGAATATGTCGCCACTGAATATTTATAAGAAGGCCGATGACTCTCTACCCACCCAGGCGATTCACGCATCTTTGAATGGATAAAGATGCTTCTCAAAGTGCGTGGATATTCAAATTTTGCGGATCTGGTCTTGGAGGGAATCATATAAATTTCCGAGTCAAATGTCACGTCACCTGCGTCAGCGGTTGGAGGAGAACGGGCCGCCGAAAGCTTGTTAATTGTGCTTATGATTTATGCAAATTTGTACTAATACATAACGCGAATCTCTGGTAAATTCTACGTGGCTTCACACAAGGCGGACTATATTGTTTTCCGCTTAAGATTTATACTTATGTAAATCCGCCATCCAAACAGACCCCCAACCCGAATAACTAGTTTGCCACATTGTTTCGCTTTTTTGTGCTCAGTTTCCAATTTGGCTTATAGTTCTGGTCTAGGAAGTGGAATTACCTTAGGTTTTATAAAAGGCTCGAACTGGATTTTACGAGACATCAACCTTGAAATGGAAAGTTCTTACCAAGAAATCTTTTTTGCTCATTTTCGGAGGCTTTGAAAGCAAAATAATTGGTTTGCCTATGTAGTTGAATTTCTTGATTAGAATCTAATTGAGTTCTTTAAATTATTCTTTAACGAATCTCTTAAGTATGTACCATACTTTAATAATATCTTAAGTATATGTAACGAAATAAAATAATGTAGTAAAAGTGAACTGTATTGGGGTTGTTTCGCCCTTCAATAAAAGCCATAATTCATTCATTGACTCAATTAATCAGCCTGACTCAATGTATTCAAATATCGACTAGGTCTTTTAGCCATATGTAGATGGGCTGAATGCACATAAATAAAGTTGACTTATCGACCACTGATCTGTGAAACATTCACCTTAAATTGATTTGGATCGGCAAGAAAGACCTAATTAATTCCTTCAACAAGTTGTCGCTCGCCTTTGTTTAAACAATAAAAAGTACAGTTAGAAGAATTGCAAACAGAAATCCCGACCGTAAATTTATGAATATGATTTGGCAAAATGTACAATATTTGCGATGCGAGTGAATAATTGTTAGGTGTCGAGTTCGCCAAATCGCATTAACAACTTGCTAACGGCATTTAGTTAATGGATATTCCAAGTGAATAAGTGACGTTTGATATTCGTTTAAAATCTGTGAAATTTACTTGAAATAAAAAGCTGCAAATTAAAAGCGGTGCGGCGAGAGAGAAAAATACAAAAAAACGTGTTTTTCCCCTGCGAAAGACCCAGAAACAACAAAAATATTAATAAGCCTTATCAAGGACACTGGCAGGCGAGCGTTAACCAGTTTTCGGCCAGCAATTTATGGGCCACAATTGCGGGCCATTGCCATCGGAGTCCTTGCCGCACTACTTGAAACACCCAGACAATTTTTGGGAACCGCCGAGGGTCATCGCGCTGGGAACTGTGGGACGAACAGGTAGCCAGCATCCATGAGAACCGGTTACACAGAATCCGTGCTTCATCCATTACATAACCGAGTGACCCTTGAAAGTTTAACCAACTCGCCTGGCCTTTTAAAGCGAAAGTGGCGGGCTTAACCAGAATTTACAAGACCTCCGGCCCGCTATCATCAATCAGGCCAGGATCGAATGGAGCCTATTGTTCACTTAAGACGACACCCCGTCTCGAGCTCAAGTTCAGCTCAAGACCCCATGCTTCGTGGGTCACAGAAAACGGAAGGTGCTCGAAATGGAACTTGAGGTGATGGCTCACATCGAGATCTGATTAATGGCCATCTCGAGAGTGCACTTCACCCTTACCCCTTACCCCATCACCCCTCCACCCATCTCGGCTGGCAAATTAGCCCACTTGGGCCTGTGATACACTGCCTCTGGCCAGCGGATACAAACACTCATCACGTCACTGCTCTCGTCGGAGGCAACAGCATTTTGGAGTGCAAATAAAACAGAAACTGGAGCACTCCGAGTCACACGCGTCGCCGGCCACAAGGCTGTTTGAGACCGAAATTGAATTCAAAATTAAATATACACAAATGAGATAAATATAATGTATGAATTGGAGCTACAGATCAGGCTTAAGGCATCGACGTGGATGTGTAAATTCTACACGGACTGCCCAAATACGAACATCGAGCCAAATATTAAACTTGAATAAAATTCATTTGTTTCGGCCCGGGCCCGGGATCTGGCCAACTGGTTATATCGCCTCATTTTAATAGCCAACTGGTTCGTCCCAGTACATAATATATTGCCATTTACTTATAGCCATCTTGTAGGCAGACCACTTCTGACAGCTTCGATTCTAGGCCCGAAAAGCCAAATTAAAAGGCAGACATGCAAATTGGTGTGTCTTTTATTTTCCATCGATCACACCCTTTGATTTACAGGCGGTTCGCTCAGATCGCTCAGCATTTTTTCAGAATATATATGTATATAAATCTAAGCTCTTAAATAATTAAAAAATTATATGTTAAATGTTTCCCAACTTAAAAGTAAAATAGGTTTAGTAGCAATAAATTCATGCATATGTATAAATAGCAGCAGCGTGGCAGTTGAAGCAGGAAGCCAAGTAGGATTATAGATTTGATAATATAAAACTAATTTGTTAAATACAAAGCTGAGCTAGAGGGTATTTCCCCTTAGACTCTCGTACAACTGTGTATTTCATTTTGATATAAAGCAGCTCGATATGATATCACACACTGAGGCAGTCGACGCACCCATATATATCGAATATTTAAAATGTATCCAAGTCCGGCGATCGGTGGCATGGGAAGTGTCTGATCGTAATGGCAGCCACGAACACCATTCTGCACTTGTTGAGGCACGAAAAGGCCACATAATTTCCACCT